AATTTGTGTAGTATTGTAGTGTTTTTTCTGATGACATGCATAAAATTACTATTCCAAAAATGAAATTAGAGTCCCCAGTTAACACGAATTTTTGTAACGCGAAATCTTGATTTTTCAGTCCATTGGAATTCGTGTTAATGAGGGTTACAATTTATCGAACACTCCAATCTACGGTTTTAAACTTATTTTCTAATTACTACTATTAAATTGTATAATTTTGTAATTAGAAGCATATATGTAGGTTCAGTATGTTTGTAAATATCTCAACACCGTGTATTACAATCTCGCTTCATTAATATTTGATATTATTTTTAGTATGTGAAACCTACTTAACTAACTATACTGATGAATGAAGGTGACCTGAAATCTCTTATTTCACCATTTTTCTTTCCTTCTTTTTTAAAAAAAAATTAAAGCAACTCATTTATTGTTTAATTAGTTCCTGTTATACCAATTTTTTTTTCTCTGGGGAAAGTAACTGGAGGTTTGTCATACTCAGTCTTCTAGACATATTTTGACCCACTTCTGTCTTTACGCATAAATGAAGTTGATAAATTTGAATATAGTCGCTTGTATTTTCTGGTTTATGCAAATGTATTCGCTTAGGAATTTCGACTATTAACTTGCACATTTTATTCTGGAAACTGTAGCCCTAATATAAAAAGTATTCTTTTCAAAACATGCTCATATTCTGTAATGTCTGCCGTGGTGTACTTGTCTAATAGAATATTTTTTTTAATGGCCGGGCGCTTTATTTAATAGCCATTAGCGTTGCACCTCAGCAAGGGCCGGAAGTGACGGCCATTTCATTATGGAAGCACCTAATAGGAGACAACAGTTGCCTGCTATGAAGTGACGGACAGTTACAATCATGGTTTCTCCGGACCCATCGCTACGGTAGTCAGGGACCCTAATCACTAGACAGGCTGGGCGACCTAATGGAATAATCCATTTTTATATTTCTATAACACAATACCTATCAGTACTGAACAAGATGTTTAAACGTATTTTTACCGAAACAGATTTTATTTTTCTTGACATCTGCTGTCACACGTTTTGGCCAGTAAAACAATTCATTTCCCTACTTCTCTAATACAAAATATCCTAGGTACTAACCAATAAAAAAGAAGTTAAAATTACTGAATACTTTCTTTCCGGGTTTAGTCTGGCGTTAGACTGAGATAGTTTGACTTATATCGCCAATGAAACTTGATGTGTTTCATGTTTGTATCATGAAGGCATAAACAGTAAAGTCAGCAGGATGCAAAGACATAAAAATGTTATTTTTATTCAACTTGGAGCCATCGATTGCAGATTTCCATTGCTATTATAGTATTAAAACGATAATTCACCTTCGAAGTGGTCCTTTTATTATGTTCAGTTTACAGTGGTAAATTTTTCTAGAAGCTATAAATGAAGTGCATTTATTCTACCTCAATAGTTTTGTCACTGAAGACGGGAAACATAAATTATCCGAAGCGTAAGCATGTCTTACATGTACCAGTTGCAGCATAACTCTTTGGGTAGTTGAGAATGCCATAGATTTCAAGATTGAAAGGAGAAATTCGAAACGAGAGGGAGGAAAGTTGTTGACTTCTGTATAATGATGCCACCTTCCTCCGTTTACTCAGCAAAATCTATTTGTTCCATTGAAGCAACGAAAGTGCTGCGGTTAGTGAAGCGTAACTTTTCACATTTGAGTTTTTCTTTTGTTTTGAAATCTCGGTAAATGTCAAGATTTGATTTTTTCCCAACTCTTTAATATGTGCTTAGTAAATTTTATACCTTGTAAGATGTTTCTCCAATTGAATTTTTTTTATTGTAATGTACATCTGTGTTGTCATTGCGTTTGTACCTGTGTGGAACATTTTCGAACTAACTGTATCGACGTGGAAAGTTCTTCACCTTATCCCAGTCATTTTGCGTACGATACAAATATACAGTGACATAGCCCTAACGTATTTCTTCGATCTCTTTTTTTTATATTAACAGCAGTCGCGTGCATGATTTCAGGCTATATCTCTATACTCTCTAAAAATATAAGCATCATATTTACAAAAAATACATGAATGAAATGTATTCGCGGACAGCGTAAAATTGCTTCGGGTCTGCCAATTTGAGACCACTTAAGTATAATCCTTCTCTTTTCAGGCCCACCAGCGGGCGAGCGCTGAACTCTGGTAGTTCGGTCCGAGGTTCGAGACCCGCGAATGGGCTGTCTGCGTGGGTGTTTTCCCCATGTGTAACGTGGATACGAGTTAGTTTTCATTAGAAAGTCCTGAAGGCATACCTTCCCTTAGGTAGATAGCCCTCAAAGCTTTGCCATAATCACAAGCCAAGCTTTTTTTGGCATTCTTCAGTCGGTTAATTTTCGGTGCTTCCTTCTATTTAACCATTCTTCCAGTCAGTTAATTTTCGGTTGTTCTAAGATGTGTTTAAAATCAAAATTATTGGTTTCCTCACAGTTCTTTCCCATGTTGACTAAAACGTTTAACATGAATCTATAAATAATTTATACTTTTATTACATATATTACTATAAATATATCTGTAGAATGTATTATTTTTAATGAAATATGAATGATGTGTAAGGCCAATAAAGCATTTTTTAATAAACTTTAGTTTTTTAAAGTTGGTAAATAAAAGTTCATATACATAATTATTGGACAGATGTTTCTAAAGTGCAAATATATATATGTAACTAAATCTAACTTCATATACGACATTTTTATTGATATTACCGCCTGGTAATGTGTTCGCCTGCTCGATGATGGCGACGGAAATCGTTTCCTTCGTGCAGTCCTAATCGTTCCAGTTTCTTTTACAAAGTCTTCTATGAAGGCATCCTTTTCGCTAGGCAGATGTCCTCAAGTTGCTTTGCCTTAACTAAGCTCTGGGATTCGAATCTGATCCCAGGGGTACAGCAGCCAGGAGCACTTATACCGACCAGGGCGGTTGGGGAGTTAATAAAGGTGATCTATTTTGTCACATGCGTTTTGTCATCAACCCTTAAAGCATCTTGCTTTTCAGTATCAGCGGTGATAAAGTGTGTGTTAACGTTTGAGATCACTGCAAAAACAAATGAAGAGTAAAAGTGGAGGCGTGCTAAACTTGGTGCTATTGAACTGCTCCTGTTTCACTTTTACACTTTTTAAAAATACCAAAATTTTTATTTGTTGTATTTCTGAAAACATACTTGCAAATACTAAACACATTCGTATTTCCAGTCAGTCTATTCGCAATGCATTGATATTATTACATTGTGAAGAATTAAACCTTCAGTGTTATCTCTGAAGGGAATCTTTTCAGTGCAATTTTACCTTGGAGTAGTTCAGATCTTTCAATAATCCTTTTATCCCATTCCCTTGCATAAGTCGAAGTAATCACCTAAGAATTGCGCGAAAGGTCATGTCCTTCAAAGATTCCATCCACCCCGACTTTCAAAGAGGTATCTGAGCGGAAACTGACCCTAATTACAGCCTTCCGCCAATGAAGAACGTCTGGCCTTCGTCATTAATAAGTCTTAAAACTTTTAAGAGTTGTTCATGTGAAACGGAGAAAAGGTCGCCGTCAAATATGAAAGCAAATTTTGCTTGCCAATACAACCCTTCCATTGGTCAATATTGATGCGATGGTTAATTGCCTCACATTTAACAATCGGTTGCTTCTTGCTTTTGCAAGAAGGCGAAGCAGAAAAAAATTCCTAACATCAACATACCCTCTGTTCCCACATCTGTATTCCCTCTGTTTCGGAATACCAAGGCAAAATTTATGTTCTCATAAAGAAAAATAATCGCTGTGTTAAAACAAGGTACCACGCTTTCTTAGTATGTAACTGTAGATTCTTATGTTGTAAGGTTATTAATTGTTAAGATATTTAGATTTAGTTTGTTTGCGAAAAAAAGTTTTATTTTAAGAATGTCAACACTTTTAATTGCAGTAAATTTCCTCGGAAAGATACTGAAGTTTGCTTAATTACTCGACTTGGCTACAGCGCCGTGGGGGCCATCGGTGATCTGCGACGCAACCAATACTAAAAATACATAATTAGATTTGGTAAATTTTAAAATGAAACCATTCTTACTATAGTGGTTTGAAGTATAATAAATCGTAAAAATGGTTTACAGCGCCTCGGGGGTTACCGGTGACTATCCACCACCACGGAAATACAAAAAGAAAATATCGATATTGATAAATTTTTAAATAATGCCGTTGTTACTACAATGGTTTTAAGTATAATAAATCGCAAATATGGTCTACATTGCCACCACGAAAAAAATTCATTAATCACGATTACATAACTCACCTTATCTTCTATAGATAATATTTCAACAATCGCATAATAAGAAATTCAGGTTGGCGCCATGGCACGGGCAAACCACGCAAAATGCGCGTCAAAGTGCTAGATTTGAATTTTCGTCAGTCTCTCGAAAATATAGTATCTTTTCTTGTATGTATTGGAATTTTATCCTAAGATTTAAGCGGAAAAACTTATCTTAATAATATAATTTATTCGCTATACGAAATTTTGGTTTGGTTTATTGAGAATATGGCAAAGCACACTAGGTCTATCTGCCTAATGGGAAGGATGCTTTCGTAGAGGACTTTCTAAGGGAGGTGCTCGTATACACGTTACACATGGGGAAAAACACGAAAACGCCCATGCAGCCAGCTCGTTCGCGGGATTCGAACCTCGGACTTAACTAGCAGTGTTCAGCGATTTGACCGTTCGGCCGCTGGTGGGCCCGCTATACGAAAGACAATTGAGTTTTAGGATAATCTCTTGTCAGAAACAAAATAACTGGACACCTATTTCGCCACCATTACATTTTTTTTAAATGCATGTTGGTTTACTCATTGTTTCTGTGTCTTTTCTAAAAAAGCTTTCTAGTAGAGTTTGAATTGTTGTGCAACAACTCATTTCCATTCATTTTGCTAGGACCTTATTTGCTGCAGATCTGTGACTCAAGAGAGAAGATATACTTAATTTTCAAAATTACTGTTCCGACTTGCCCCATGCAAGTGAGTGCATAAATTATTCGTATAAGAATTGTTTCGCGAAAGAAAATATTGTTTTGATGTGTTAATCCTATAGAAACTCATGGAAAAGGCAATATCTAATAAAACGTTTACCAAATGCAAGTGCGGCCCACCAGCGGCCGATCGACAAAGACGCTGAACACTCGTAGTTCGGTCTGAGGTTCGAATCCCGCGAACGGGCTGTTTTTTCCCATGTGTAACGTGTATACAAGCCAATTTCCCTTAAAAAGTCCTCCACGAAGGCATCCCTCCCTTTAGGCAGATAGCCCTCGTGTGCTTTGCCATAATTGAATAATCCTGATCCAAATACAAGTGCAAAAACATATATAGAAAAGATATTGAATTAAGCTTTCAAATATACTAAAAATTGGAAACTACAAATTGGGGATGCGTTGGCGCTTAAAAAGTATTCGTACATTGAAATAAATCCAAAATTTTGGTCTCCACGAAGGCATTCCTCCCTTTAGACAGATAGCCCTCGTGTGCTTTGCTATAATTGAATAATCCAAATCCAAAATTTTGGTAACATTTTCTAATTGGTTTAGCCAGTTTTGCGTTGATAACTGACGTCATTTATCTTGCGGGTTATATAAAATAACCGGGTGTAACTTTAAATGTGATAAGAAGCGTAAAATGTTAATTACGATCATAAAAGTAAAGAAATGAGGGGTTTCCGAAAGAAAATTAAAGTTTCATCAAAGCGGTAAATCGTATAACGAAATTTTAGTTTTAGTTAGCAGACCACATTCAGATTATTTAGAAGTTTATTACCTCTGGAACAGTGAAAAATAGTGCTCATTCAAGACGACCACGTCTACTTACATCCGTAAACAGACGATTTCTGGCACGTTTGTTAAAGAAAGATTCGAAAGAAAGTGCTTCTAAGCTTACAGCAGAATTGACAAACATGGCAAGCGCAGTATCCGTAAGTACAATTCGAAAGGCATGCAGAAAACAAGGTTTCCATGGTCATGCTACGAGAAGATAATTCACTGTGACTGAGAGCAATCGAAAGTTACGATTATTCTTCGTCAAAAATTACATGAATGAACGCACAAATTTCTGGAAGAACATTATTTTTTTCAGGTGAAAGTAAATTCAGTATTTTTGCATCGGATGGGAGGCGAATGTGGTGGAGAGAACGAGATATATAGAAATGTATCCAAGGGATTTACTACCAGCAGTGAAACACTGAGAGGGAGGCGGGTCGGTTTGGGATTGTACGAGTTCTTCCTGGGGTCGGTAAATTAGTCATCGGTAATGACATTATGAACGATCTGCTCGATACATTGATGTTTTGAAAAATAAGTTACGGTCGAGTGCTACAAATATGGGTTTGGATAGTGAATAGGTTTTCATGCATGATGATGACCCCAAGCATACAGCCCTAAATACACGGCTCTGGCTTTTATATAATACCCCTAAGTTCAGGAAATTCCCTCCTCAGTCACCCGACTCAGTCCCATTGAGAATTTATGATAAACTCTCGATAAAAGTATTGGATCCAGGCACATTTCTAAGAAAAAGGAATAACTGCTTTTAACCCTTTGCGGCACAGTGTGTCCGGTTTGGACGCACCTAAAAATTTCCTTCTGTACGCACAGAAAAATTGAATGAAAAAGGATTTATGGGTTAATCTGAACCTTCTTTATTTATAAGTAGATGGCAGCTCAACACAAACCAGTCCATATATTTTAGCCATGTTTAGTTTTTTAAGACCCTCATTTTTCAAAGAAATATTCCAGATTTTTTTAGGGTATAAAAGGAGTTGTTTGAAAAGAAATTTCTGTCATTTTTTTTGGCTGTATGCTAATCTCCTTATTCTATTTTAGTTTTAAATTTTTACCCTTGAAATCTTGCCTAAAATCAAAGGCGAACTCTAGGTCGGCCCAGACCGGTCTCACCGATCATCTAGGACAACTGAGAGTCAGTATTCTTTGTTTCTCCGCATCTCATTTGTCAGTTCATTGACGACAATGCTCATTTCAGCATTCTTTTCAAAGCTCTATTCAATCAGTGTGCCCACTTTGGGCACATCCACAGAATTAAAATGATGAGTGCTATCTTCACAAAATTTTACTTGTGTACTCATCTAGGCCTAATTAGACAGCCTACCTTTTTTAAAATAAAAACTCCGACTTTATCAAAACGGCGACTTTAAAACTTCGACTAAAAAAGTAGCGTGCCGGAAAGGGTTAAACAAGAATGGGAGTCCATGTCTAGCTCAGTAACAGCAAATTTGATCTAATCCATGCCAGAGAGACTCGAAGTATTTATTCACGCTAAAGGATGTTCTACAAGGTATTAATTTAAATATATCAATGAAAACATTTAGCATTATGTATAGTTTACGAATGCATTTTACATTACAAGACAAAGGATTATTTTTGTTTTGTAAATGTCTTATGCATGCATTTATTTCATGCAAATTTCACATGGAGATGTTAAAGCATATTTTATTATACATATTTAATTACTTTTTGTGGAATTTAGGTACAATTTTTATAAACGAGGCATTTTTAGATCGTGCATTTACTGTACGAATATCTTTCTGCATTCACTGTATGTGTCTGATAGATCTGAAATCGTGTCACTTTGAAGATATAATTTCATACCAAGCGTATTAAACTATGCTTACAGGAACATCCCTTTGATGGAGAGGTCTTCACTGTACTTTTGCACGAAATCTGGAGCACATGACTATCTACAATTATTTTAATAGCACTCTGCATGAATACCAAGACAGAGCTACCAGTGCGAACCCCGGGCAACATCTTGTTTGTATCTTAGTATCTCTTTCAACAAGCTTCGAAATAACAGCAACATTATTCGGGTAGATAATATTCTTCTGCATTTCCCGGATTGACTCGTCCATTACACTGCCGGGTGGTTCTATGCAATTACGGCAAAGCCTCAAGGGCTATCTGCCTGGAGAAGAGATGCTTCGGGGAGGACTTTCTAAGGGAAATTGGCTGGTATGCATGTTTACACATGGGGGAAAACCATAGAACGCCCTTGCAGCCAGCCAACGGGCTGGCTGCAAACCTCGGACCGAACAACCAGTGTTCAGCGACTTTACCGCTTTGCCGCTGGACTGCCGGGTAGTAAAATTCTTTTGTAATATTTTAATGGCGATTTTACGTAATTTTATATTCTGTGACAAATCAGGAATTTAGTTAACGTCAAAAGTATTTGTATACGAGTCAGAAAAGTTGAAAAACCTTCGGTTTTCAACTTTTAGCTTATTCGCAAGAAAAATTATATAATATGTATTTAATATTTTCATGTACTGGAATTATTACACAATGAGGGAAACTGTAAAAAAAGTTCTTTTTATTTCAACATGAAATAGGAAACCATTAATTCTGATTATTAGAATCATTAACTCTAAACCATTAATTCTAATGGTTTTGAAATGAAAATCATTAATTCTGAATTATTAGTTCTGATTTGAGCCAATGGAATAATTAATGGTTAGCCATTAATTAACAATTAACTGTTTTATCGCTTTAATTTAACACATAAAAAATATTCGTATACCAAATTCAAACCAATTAATTACACATAACTCCTTTATTTTTAATTTTATATTTTTCGTAATATTTTATATTTGAACGTTCTTGACTGCTGTTAATCTTCTGGCCATTGAATTAACTAATTTTGTAGAATATTCTGACGTAATTTTATCCCATTCCTTTTGTAAGGCGTTTCTGAATTGCATCCTATCAGAAATTGGATTAATGGTTTCTTGCAAATGTGCCCATACATGTTGTATAACATTTGTACTTAGTGACTGAGGAGGTGTATTTAATTGATTGCGCAAGTTGTACAAAAGCCACAACCTGGTATCCAAAGCTCTTGGTTGTCCGTTCGTTATCATGGCTTCCAGTTCCGAGTCAAAGTTTCTTTAATTCTCAAGTTGGTGACTTTCAAACATGCGTTATCTTTTCCTCTTGAATAGCATTTAATTTTCTATAATATATTATTAGATGGATCAAAATACTATTATACATGCATTTTAAGTTTAACATTAATCCTAAACTACGTAACCTGTATCTCAGCTATGCATCATTTAGTACGGAGCTGTATCTTAACATGAATGAATATATTATAACTGTAAACTTTCGCCCAGAAAGTGCTATAAATCGAATTTATTCTTCCTAGAGGAAAAGAAATCAACTAACCTGACATGCTGTGATGCATAACCTAAGTTTTAATGGTTAACATTTATGACCTGGAGTTGAAATTTAATCTTACATCTGCAAAGATTCCCAGAGGCTTTTTCCACGGATCGCATACCATTTAACTGCGAAGTAGTTTGTGGTTTTTCTTGGATCTCCTAGGTCAGGAGAACGATTAGGTATTATTTTTTTTTACCTTCATTTTATTTCTAGGTAATAAATTTATAAACTGAATAAAATGGGGATTAATCATATCTGTAGCATATCATCCCACATCCGTTCTTCGTGCGAGTCTCTAAACGTAATACAAGCTATATTGTAGTCTCGATTTATAATTTATTAAATATTGAGAAGTATTTCTAAAGTGTGAAATGTAATTTCAGAACTATACATGTACTTCGTTTATCAGTTAATTACCTTTCTCCATCGAAACTTAATACACAAAGTCATGTACTTTTGTGCATAGGTATGACAATCAAACAATTGTAGAGGTAATGAAATGAATGAGTGTTTAAACTTAAAGCAACAAAATGCTTATAGTTAATTTCGAGATACCTTGCGGCCTGAGGGTTAAAAGCCGTGGAATACTAAAAGTTCTGGGAAGTTTTATTCGCAATAGTTTAGGTTAATCTATTAAGACATAGTAAACTAGAGGGCTAAGCACCTTTTTCGGAAAGAAGCCGTCGCGAAAGACTCCCTAAAGGAAACCCATGAAAACGCCAATGCAACTAACCTGTTCGCCAGGATTTGAACTCCAGTCAAACTACCAGTGTTAACGACTTTACCGCTCGGTTGCTGGTG